ATCTGACACCTTGTTTCCCATTGCAGACAGGGTCTTTGGTAGAATAAGCCTCTCCTCAAGCTCCATTCCTGCCCCTCTGGAGTTGGGTCTTAAGTCCCCATCCTACCTGCCAGTTCATTTCCCAAATCCAGGCTCTGTCACTAGACAAGGCTCCAAGCCCCCAGCAGCATCACAGTTGAGTCCCTTTCCTCCCTCAGCCCTCTCCCAGACTGGCCTTCCTCCCTCTTCAGCAGGGTCCCAGGTGCCCTCTTAGTCCAGGGACTTTGTTCCCATCATGTGCCATAGTGGCCTTCATATGGGATACCCTTCTCAATGGTACACAAGGGTCTCACTGAGATCTCTCCTGTCTGCTCTGGACCCTTGCAAGTCTGGGGGTATCCTCTTTCTTAGACTATGTTACCTTTACCCTCACTGTCATAGGCAGAATCAAGGCTCCTCGCTGAGGACCACAGCTTCATGTAGGACAGGGAGGGGACATGACTACTAGTGACTCAGTGCCAGGACTTTACCCCCAAAGCAATTGGGAAGACAACATACAGGAGGTATGCCCAGTTCCTGGGCTGCCTCACACAGATGGAGTCAGGGAGACAAGCAGATGACAAGCGTGGGTGGATGGAGAGATGCCTTGAGTTCCAACCCCCAAGTAAGGAGGCCCCAACCCCACCTCCCATGCTTCTCACCAAAGCTAATAAGATCCTCATTTAGGGAGGTAGGGTTCAACAGAGGCACATCTGTCAAAAAGGAAAAGAGAAAAGAAGAAAAAAAAAAAGAGAATCTTTATCTTTCCCTGGCCTTCTAGTGATTGCTACTACAGAAAATTATTAACTCCTGATTTAAAAATGGGTGGGAGAGCCAGGCTGTGCTGTGCTGGTCATTCAGTGGCTGATGGTGAGAGAAAAGCACAGGACACTTGGCCCAGCATACTCTGAGGGTCTGAGCTGTATTACTGAGCCAGGTCCCAGGCTACCCAACAGGATCAATCTGCACTGCCACCCCCACTTCCTACACCCTCTCAACATCCTCTACCTTCATTCCCCTCTTATCCCCTCCTCCACACTTGCCACCTGCCCAGACGTTTTGGCTGAGCCTAGAACCATGGTGCTAACTGGTTCCACAGTGACTGACAGTTCTACAAAAACACAACTCATGAATCAACAGCAGATATTATCCCACAGCCAACCACCCTATAGTGTCTTGTGGGGTGGGGGAGCTAGAGGAAACAGGAAGAGAAGAGGCCTTGTGGTCTTGAAAAGTGAGGAGATCTTTCCCAGTAGCCAGATGCAGAAAAGAGATACCATGGGCAGATCAACACTAGGGCTCAAAGCAGGAACACCATGACCATGAGGCACCAAAAAGAATTAGTGCCTGCTTGGGCCAGGGTTGAATAGGGCTACAGGGCCTCAGGCTAAGGATTTCTGTTGCCCTGGGTGATTCTGGCTACAGCCCAGATCACTGTACCTATGGTTACTTTAAAAACCAGGGCCTGGGCAGAATGGTCACCACCTTCTCAAGTGAGTCTTGTATCTAGTCAAGAGGGCTGGGCATAGGGTGTTGTTTTTGTGCAGGTGCAGCATGAAGGCAGAGGCTGTGCCACTGGTACTTTGATATCTGGGGTCCTGGCACCCAGCTCATCGTCTCCTCAGGTGAGTCCCCACCAAGACTCTAGTATTTTCTTCTGGAACTGGGATGAGTCCCTGAGGTGTGCAAATTTGACATCTACAGTAGGGCTCTGAACAGCTGGAAAAGCTTCCCAGACCGTGGTACCTGGGATCTCACCAGACAGGAATGGCTGGACCCTGGCTTTTCCTGTGTGTTTGAATTTCTATATGGGCAATGTCAGAGCCTGTGTCTCTGTGCAATGCTTTTGCTTTCTGGGGCCAGTGCACCCTAGTTACCATCTCCTCAGGTAAGATCACTTTCTTTAGCCTGCTATGTCTGAGCCCAGACTCCTCTGGAGATAAGAGAGTTTTCAGTGGCTCTTCAGTGTTTGTGTGGCCTTCTGGAGGTCTGTAGGGCTCTGTGTTCTGCTGATAGCCTTTCTGTGGGGATAGGGCACTCAAGGTGAAAGATGACAGAGTCATGCTCCTGACGTGGGACAAACTGTGACCCTAGAATGTGGACTTCATACCATGACCAACCACACTGGCCATGGGAGTCAGGTTTTTGTATACTCTGTAAGGAAGTCTACAGCATTGTGATATCTTTGAATACTGGGGCCAGGGGACCCTGGTCACCGTCTCCTCAGGTGAGTCCTTCCAACTTCTCTTCCTGCTCAACTCTCAGATTTTTACTGCATTTATGGAGCAAAAGGATTGAGGCTGAGTCTCAGGCCGAAAAGGTTGGGAGCAGCGTTGGGGGCCAGAAAGGAGTACTGGAGACCATGGCCCCACAGATCTCCTCTGTCCTGATCTCTATGGCTGGCTTTCTCTGGGAGTCCCAGTACCCTTGACCTCTGAGTCCTGCTATCTCTGCTGGCCTCAGCCTTCACTGGGCTCAACTTGAAGGGGTCTCAGTTCTTTTTTGGGGGGTCTCAGTTCTTTTTTGGGGGGGTTCATCTTTCCATGGTTGTTACAATGTGACAACTGTTTTGAACTGGGGCTGCAACATCCTGGTCACTCTGTCTGAGGTGAAATGAATTTCTTTAACTTCCTTGTGAGTTGGAAGAAGGATTTAAGAAGTCTGAATGGGGTCCTGTGAAGTGGATGAGGGTCATTTAGGGATGTGAGACTCTGTGTCCTTTGATGACCTTTCTGTAGGGACAGGGATATTTCCTCTAGGGACAAAGGGTGAGAGAAACTAAGGTCCTCGGCATGGGACCTTAGGACCTGGTCTCTTGGTCTTGGCTGCCACACAAACTGTGGTAGGTCAGGTTTTTGTACACCACCTGATGGGGCCCATGGCAGTGTGACTACTTTGATTACTGGGGCCAAGGAACCATGGTCACCGTCTCCTCAGGTGAGTCCTGACAACTCCTTTTCCTTCTCTACTCTGAGATTTTTATTGCATTTTGGGCAAAAATGATGATGTCTGCGTCTCAAGCCAAAAAAGACAGGGCTCTTCTATCCTGGTCCTTATGACTAGGTCTCTCCGGGCCCTGGTCCTCTGAGGGATCCTGGGGCCCCAGACCGATAGCAGTTCTTGTTTGGGGTCTTGTCACAGTTGTCATAATGTGACAACTGGTTTGATATCTGGGGCCAAGGAACCTTAGTCACCGTCTCCTCAGGTGAGTCCTACCCCATATTTACTCTGATGAATTAGGGGAGATTTAGAAGTCTTACAGTTACAAATGTCAGAGTTACAGTTACAATTTAGAGGGCCGGATAGGGATCTGGGGAGCTTCAGATACAGCCCCCTAGGCCATGACCACAGAGGTCCTGGATAGGAGTTCCTGCCAATGGGTTATTGTGATAGCTGACTGATCTGTGGAGCAAAATTAGCGATTATGTGACTGCCATGTAACTAGACTGTCAGTTTCAAGATCTTCAAGGCTTTGTGGGTCCCCATGAGAACATGGGGCATCAGTTTATGGTAACCTTTCCAGCCAGCTAAAGTCTAGATTCAGAAGAAATGGGCTAGAATGTTGATGTCTGGGGACCAGGAAAGTCTCAGACCTGACACAGTGACTTGGGTGTGACCATGAGTGTCAGTCTCTGGGTGGTGAGCATGATGCTGACCAGGCACTCAGGGTTTTTGTGGAGTTTGGATGGAGACTGCATCAATGTGATTACAATGCTTTTGATATCTGGGGCCCCGGTACCCAGGTCACCGTCTCCTCAGGTAAGAAAAGCCTCTATGGGGCCTTCTCTGTTCTTTTCTGTGGAGTTCTTTGAAAACTGTAGGGTCATCTCAGTGGCCTTGGGGTTATCTGGGTGGCTGGCCAGATGGATGGGACTGGTCATCTCATTGGAAGTTTTGCTGTCTTTGGAAAATTAGAATAAGAGCAGGCGTATCACTGCACTGACTGAACTCCCTCCAAACAGTGGCTGGGGTTGATGGTCATATTTGGATAGGTGAATAAAGCAGGGTCTTCATGGCAGGGCAACACCAAGGGGTCTGGCTGGGATGAGGACATCCAGTTCAGGAATCAGTATTGGGTTAAGAGTGTGACTCATTAATCCTGATCATAGAATGTGAAGTGGAGTATTTTCTTTAGAGTGGTCAAGTATGCTCTGTGTTAAATGATATTTAAAACTCTTTATATGTTGGAAAGAGAATGGTCTGAAGGAGCGAATTCTGCAGTGAAGACATGTAGTGTGGTCTTGAGAAAAATGAGCGCCGGGCACCTTTAGGGCAACTGCTGCCCAGACAGGCTCTTGAGAAGGAGAGAGAACAAGGTCTCTGTGTGGGGACACATGGAGGAGAAAATGCTGAGAAACAGGTTAAGTCTGAAAGGCAGGATGTCTCTGAAGGGGCTCCAGAGAAGAATGGCCAAGAAAATTGTGACTTAAAATGTGAGCGATTTCAAACATATTTCATTTTTAATTTGCTGTTAATATTTTTATTACTAAATTAATGACAGTTAACTTCTGTCTGTCTGGAATTGATGCCGCTGCATGTTCAGACAAGGAGTAAGAATTCGGTACTGTTGCAGGTATTGGGGCTGAGTTTTGACAATTAATTAATGATTTTTTATGTCAGTGGAGCCATGCTGGGAAGTGAGTTAATGTCAAGATGGCGTGAGGCCCGGACACCTGCAGCAGGTGGCAGGAAGTTGGTCACATGGAAAGCTTATTTTAGGAAGTGAGAAAACAGAATAGGTAAATTTATAGCTGTGGTCATGATGGGATGTTTATGAAATGTTTTTCCAAGCTCTACAGATCTGAAAGTTCCTGTTGAGAAAAACAACACCTGGGTCATTTGCATTTCTAAATTAAGCCCCAGATGCTGGCAGGAACTGGAAAGCCCCATTTCAACTACATGACTTTAATTTTTAGGACTTAGCTTATCAACTTTCAACCTGTTCAAAATGAACTTGTTAACTTCTTTTATTTTCAACTCTACATTGTATTTATTTTCAAAGTACAATGTATGTGAAATTGAACAATCATAGGGGAAGTTTATTAGTTTGTTTAAGAAAGGTTTTTAGTTACTTTAGTGTTCTTTCATGTGATCCCTAATGCTAATACTTTTCCAATAACTGAAGCATTAGTTTTACAATGAGTGTGTTTGCAATATTTAAGGAAGTTATGGGATTAGGAAAAACATTGTTATACTATTCTCATGAAGATGCCTTCCTAAGTATTTTTTTTAAGACTATTCATTGAGTACTTGCTTTAAGAGAACTTTGAAGTGAGATATACAGAATCATCTTGGATTATTTCAGTTAAACATGTTAGTTGTTGGATTGAGAGAATCCCAGCCAGATAAGGCAAAGGAAAGGCCTTTAGGACTCAGGCAGTGTGGAATGCTTCTTTTCTACCCAACTTGCTGCTGTTAGGCTGCTGACTAAGGTCTGTGTGTGGCTGCTGGACGTGGTTTCAGCTTGTGGCCCCCAGGACCAGCCAGACCTGGGAAGTGTGGCAGTGGCTTCTGTCACCAGGCCAACTGGCTCTTTGTGAATCAGCCAGTTTTAATGGACATGGAGGAAATATTCCATGACAAAGATACTCGGGATCTCCCAGCGACCGGGCAACCAACATGGTAAGCAAGAGGCAGCCACCACTGCCATGTTTGCTTCTCTAAAAGATTGTATTTGATGTTTGTTTCTCTTGGAAAGAGAGTCAGTCTTCATTGTCTGCAAAAGAGAAGGAAACTTATTTGTGAATCCTTGGAGTGACTATTGTCTGGGTCACTCATCAGCAACATTATCTGAAGTGTGTCCAGGAAAAAACAGGCACTATTAGTTCTAAAGTCTATTAACTGTTGGTCATTCAGTTCATGATACTTTGAAATGTTCTAAAGGACCACTTAGTTGTGTCCATTTAACTTAGTAAAACAGATTTTATTTTAGACTATTATTGTACTTTCTAAAGAGTTTTATGGCAAAAAAAATGAGTTTTAAATGGAAAATTTAGGTACAATATTTTTCATGGTTGTGGTTAATGGTTGTTTTCATCTAAGTGGAAATTAAAGTCAAGCTAATTTAAGATTCAGAAGGGAAGAATCCAGGCTAAGTGGTCTTCATGGAGCTCAGCATCTGAGAAAGACTTCCCTAGTGAGTCCTACCTGTACAGGCAAAGCTTTGGGTTCTGGAGGAAAAGAAACTTTTCTGTGCAGAAATGCCTCTACTTATTATCCATCTACTTATAGTTCCATGAATTTAAAGTTGCAAAGGTATAATTTTCTTATTCTTTTACTGGGAGATTAGTGACTGATTTGTTGAACGCAGCCTAAAGCCTAGTGCAACAGGATGAGAGACCATTACATGCATGCCAGAGAAGAGACTCAGGGTGATAGGGCAGATGGGCTATGTAGGATACAGTTGTGGAATGTTTTAGCTGAGCAAAGCTGAACTGGATACAGCAGAATACAGCTGTGCAAAGCTGAACTGGACTGGGCAGGGCTGGGCTGGGCTGGGCTAAACTGAGCCTGGTTATCCAAAGTGGGCTAGTGGAGCTGGCTGAGCTAAGCTGGGCTGAGTTGAGCCAGTCTCAGCTGGGCTAGCAGAGCTTGACTGAGCTAGCAAAGCTGGGCTAGCAGAGGGGCTGAGCTAGGCTAGCAGAGCTGGGCTAGCAGAGCTGGGCTGGGTTGAGCAGAGCTGGACTGAGCTAGCAGAGTTGGGTTTGGCTGAGTGGAGCTGGGTTGAGCTGAGCTGAGCTGGGCTAGCAGATCTGGGCTGAGCTAGCAGAGCTGGGCTAAGCTGAGCTGGGCTGAGCTGAGCTGGGCTGAGCTGAGCTGAGCTGGGCTGAGCTGAGCTGAGCTGGACTAGCAAAGCTGGACTGAGCTAGGAGACCCGGGCTGAGCTGCGTGGAGCTGGATTGAGCAGGGCTAAGCTGAGCGGGGCTAGCAGAGCTGGACTGAGCAGAGCTGGGCTGGGCTGAGCTGCACAGAGCTGGGCTAAGCTGAGTGGGGCTAGCAGAGCTGGACTGAGCAGAGCTGGGCTGGGCTGAGCTGGGCTGGGCTGAGCTGAACAGAGCTGGGCTAAGCTGAGCGGGGCTAGCAG